GCGTCTTCGACCCAATCCTTGCTTGATCTCACGTCTTCTACCTGGAAACAAACACTGAACTGCCTCGTAGCCGGTCGGAGAGGATTTCGCGTTGGCCTGACCTTCAATACCATTACTTGGGGTCTTAGACGATCGCCTGGACACGTGAGTTCCGGCACGACGGGGATCCTGCATGCGTACGGCTCGTAGAGATCGCTGTCGAGCTAATCGTTTACGATGTCGACGTCAATACTAACTACCGAGTGCATTATATTCCAGGGTCCAGAGGCCGTATGTCAGTGTCCGGCTGTTCCGACGGTTCCACTTAACAATGACCAAGTAGCCAATGTTGCTGTCGTCATCGCTGCTCTCAGTCGCCTCGTCATCGCTGCTCTCAGTCGCCTCGTCATCGCTGCTCTCAGTCGCCAGACTCTTGGTGGCCACGGTGTAGATGAAGGCCTGGTTCTGGTGCAAGGGCTTAGGAAACATGCCTGTTAACATCTTGATGTACCAACGCTGCTCCCCTGGCCGCAATGACCGGTTCTGTTCCCAGGCTTCCATGTATTTAATGATGACCTGCGTGTGATCAAAGTTGCAGGGCAAAAAACGTTAGGTCCACGTGGCCACTCAACGGGTCCCGAGTTGCCGGGATCTGTCGATGGATCGTTGGCGATGAGAATGTCATGTCTCCCAAGATTGCGCCATTGACCGGCTTTGATAGCGTCCCGCCATGTCTGTGGCGAAGGCTCAACTTTCCTGAAGAACGGCGGAACTCTGGCGGTGTCGTCATGATGCGCGTCGTGATCCCCGGGCCGGAGAAAGAGCACCACCGGGCTCCGTGTTGATTTGAGCGGGGACCATGCCCCGCAGCAGTTCAGTTTGATCAGAAAGAGTGCTTCGTAGTCTGCCGGGCGGTCCGAGTCCATCTTCCACACCTCTGCATTCAGGCTAAGGCAGCCATTTGTCATGGCGAACACGCGCCGCGAATTGTCAAACCTGCTTTGAAAGACAGCCCGACTGTATTCGTAGTCCTTTAGAGACGGTGCCAGGATGGGCGAGTCCCAGGGGCTGCGCCCCGTCGCAGTATTTATTCGCGTGTGCCAAACAATGGGCAGAGCCTGATCGCTGCTGGCTATGAGCGGCATGGTGGTAATGGTTAGTCAGCATTGATCAGGTTGCTTAGGTAATATCACAACAAGACTGAGCTCTGAGGCCTGAGTCCTGACATTTCGGTTCATTCATTTATAACTTTAAGTGACAGATGTTGATCCATCTGCCCTGACCTTAACGATACCTTTCTTACAGCTCAATCGCTGAAACACCTTCTGGCCAGGCCCATCAAGCACAGCATCAATCCACAAAAAGTCCTTCAACGCAAGCCTCGTCTGAGCCCACGTCGACAACCCAAGCACCGACAGAGTCTGCCCCATCATCTCGCCCAGCCATTTTTCATTCAAATCCCAATCTTCAAAGATCGACACGCTCGCAACAAAGCCAGCCCAAAGACACAATCTGTAAAGCCCCTTCTGCTGTTCACCACCACCGGCACCGGCACCCTCGCCGCCAGGCACATTACATGTAAGCCGCAGCGTCTCGTGCCACCATGCACCCAATACCTGCCCCAAGCCGCCCGCCAGCGCCGTCATTCTCTTCCCCATCCCCAGCAGCCTGATGAGCAGCGTCTTGGCATACGCCAGCATGCCCAACCGGAGCAATTCATGCAGCAGCACACCCGGACGCCGCAGGCCTACCAGCCCTACTAGCCCGCCTCCTTCCTCGTCCTCAGAAACAAGTTCCAGCCGGAGCAGCCGGTACGGCACAGAGGTAGCGAGCCGGTGCGCCAGGTCAGCAGGGACCATGTCTCCCCCTGGCGCCGTCGCTGTTGCGTCGTTGACGAGTCGGGAGAACTCGCGCAGGTCGGCCCAGACGTGCAGCAGGCGGGGGTCGGGACGCGGGTGCAGGGCCAGAGCGGCCGCGAGTTCGGGGAATTGCGTGGCGGACCGGCCATGGGCGAGCTGCGGCGACCAGGATAATTCAAGGTCGTGTGGGAAGAGCAGGTTGTGGCCCAGGCGTATGGCTAGGAAGAGGTCGAGGTTGTGAGAAAGGGAGAATACAGAGTTAAATTACAAAGTCTGTGGGAGGGGCTTCGTAGATATGCTGCTTACACACTCGCCTTGTGCTCCAACATGGAACCCGGCTGCAGCGACTGCAAACCGCCTCGCAGCTGGAGAATCCTTTGCGGGCCGTCCATGTGCTTGGCTGCCGTCGCGAGGTCGCCCGCGATGACGGCGGCCATGGCCAGCGACGCCACGACGGCCGTGGTCGACAGTTCGACCGCCTGCCTTTGGTCGTCCAGGCATTTCTGCAGATGCCGAAGCGCCTTGTAAAGGTGCACTTGGGCAACCTTGCTGTAAGGATAGCCGAGTGCCAGGTCGTGAAAGGCCTGCGCGGAGAAGAGAGTCGAGTGCAGGATGCCCGGGTCGTGGGTGAAGTTGGCAAAGCAGAAGAGGTTGTCGTCGCGCGGAGGCTCGATTGCCATGCCCTGCAGTCCGTATGCTGCGGGCTTGACCACTGTCAATGCTATCGAGGGGTGTCAAAAAGCAGATTTATCTGCTCGGAAATAGAGGGGGGTGGGGTGGGGGGCCGTGATGGTGAGAACTTGGAGGTCGATGACCCATCACTCGGAGATCGCCAGAACATACCACGGTGCATGAGAACCGGCGCATAAGGTTGCATATCACTGCCAAACCCAAAGAGGGAGAGCTCGGATGCAATTTTGCGGGGAGTGACGATTGTCCAGCCGCCGGCTTCAGCTCCTTCGTCGGACGCTCGGTGTATTATCGTCTCTGGCATTGTCGGGGTCGTGTCGTCTGTCGCCCGCGGCGCCGCCCGCGAGGCTGGCTGGATCTTGCGGTTTCCGAATTTGCCTGCATTCTTTTCGCGCATCACATGGCTGCGGATGAGCTTGCGCGTCTCGGGGTCGGGCTTGGCAAGCGATGTGGCGACGATGAAAGGGACAGAGGCGGGATCTGACGAGAACAATCAGCAATGCAGAGCGGGAATTGGGAGCGGTCGAGAAATCGACGCACGATCCATGGCGGATGACATGCCAGAGATCTATGAGGATAATGAGATGCCACTGCAGCGACCGGCCGAGCCCGGTGAGGGTCCGCCGGGGACGGTGGGGGTGACTCGGATGACTCGGCTTTTCGAGGAATGGAACGATGAAGCTTTCGAGGGGACGGCAACACTTTGCTCGGCCCCACTTGCTCAACTGTTTGCCAAAAGGAGAATATCGTCTCAAGTCATGGCTGGAAAGAACGAGTGATGTTGGGTCAATTTCAGTCTCCCCTTGCGATGCCCGAGGTGAACGATCAACAGTGCAGGGTTACATCATGAGAGTTGCCAAGATCTGCCAAGCTGACAAGCCCCACACGATTGTTTTCCGTTTCGGGAAGTCGACAAGGGTTCCTTAGACACGCAATGGGCGGTTGTCCAGTCGGACATTGAACTTTAACACCGTTCAAAGAGCTGAGATGGAGGGGGCTCGCCGGAGGCTGGACTGGGCTGAGCATCTAACTGGCGAAGGTCTCGATTGCCGTACTTTATTCCTATAAAACTCTTTAAAGTGGTCACTGAAGTCGGTCTTGCCAAACACTGAGAACTTCTGTCTCTACAGCTTACGTACGTACTTACCTAATTGTCCTCCTGTTCTTTCTGTAACTTGTTGGGGCTCCCTTCCAAAAGTATTTTCTCCTTGCTTGTTTGGTCACTTCTTTTCTTCACAACATCGCTGGCAATCACAATGCCTTCCAGGAGCAAGCCCGTCCCCTTCAACCCCGCCACGGACATTCCCTCCCTCACCGACAAAATCATCCTGGTGACAGGAAGCAATGTTGGTCTGGGCAAGCAAGCCGTGCTCGAATTCGCCCGCCACAACCCACGCCTCATCTGGCTCGCAGCCCGCAGCGTCACCAAAGCCAACGCGGCAGTCGCCGAGATCAAACAACACGTGCCCAACGCGCCCATCCAGGTCCTCGAACTGGACCTCGCGTCCTTGGCCTCGGTGAAGAAAGCCGCGGCCACCGTCCTCGCCACCTCGCCGCGCCTCGACATTTTGATGCTCAACGCCGGCATTATGTTCACCGCCCCAGACCTCACCGCCGACGGCTACGAACTACAGTTCGGCACCAACCACATGGGCCACGCCCTGCTCGCCAAGCTCCTCCTCCCGCTCCTCACCAAGACCGCCTCCGGAACCCCCTCGGTCCCAAAAGCCGACGTGCGCGTCATCTCGTTGTCCTCCGACCTCCACGCCCGCGCCGCCAAGCCCGGAATCGACTACGACACGCTCCACGGCCGCGGCGAGGCGCTTGGCCCCCTCGGCTGCTACTACCAGAGCAAGCTGGCCAACGTGCTTTGGGCGCGCCAGCTGGCCCGCGAGTACCCGCAGCTGACAGTGGCCGCCATCCACCCTGGCGTCGCCCAGACGCAGCTGATGGGGCGGGCCTCGGGCGTCCCCGCCGTCGTCCGGGGGCTGGGCCGCGTCATGGCCGGGCTGGGGCTAAACAAGACGGTCGAGGACGCGGTGCGGAACCAGCTCTGGGCGTCGGTTGCAACCAAGGGGGTGGAGAGCGGGGAGTATTATGTGCCGATTGGCGTGGCGGGCAAGACCAGTGCCTTCGGGGTGGATGATGCGCTGGCGAAGAAGTTGTGGGATTGGACGGCCAAAGAGCTTCAGGGGTATGTTGTTGAGGCTTGAGGGCGGGATGTGGCAAGGTAATACCTTATGAAAGGATGGACAGGGTGTGTTTGGAGTGATATCTTTGGACATGGAACCTTGAAAATTTAATGTGTCTCGCTAATTTGAACTTCCTTTCCTTGCCGGAGGCGTGCGTATTTCTTGTTGGGCGATAAATGTAAGAGGATTAGGGGGCAGTTAGCATCAGTAAGTTCAGCCAAGCACTTCACATCAGACATGGTGCAACAACTTCCGAGATGACACTTTCATGGAGGCCATACTACTACTGCTCATACCCAGATGCCTGACCCCCAACCAGCCCAAGACAGTGCAGACTCCTCTCCAAAAGCAGCCTGCAAAACCCAAACTGCCACACAAGCCAATCCAGTACGTATCCCAGTAGTGTCGCTCAAACTCCAGCTATCCCCACCACTGCCCAGCCCAGAGAACGACACAAACACCCGCAAAAAGTGCGAGCCACCGTGCGAGGAGAGCACACCCAGCCCGGCAGTCAGTCTGTTAGGCCGCAGACATCTCCACGGCAAGAGCCTCAAACCACCCCAGGCTCACCCGCCTCGTCCTCATCGACCGTGGTATTGCCGCTGTTCTCTGCCTCTTCATCACCGCTATCCTCCCCCACCTCCTTCTCCTTCTCGGCGTCATTCTTCTTCGGCTGGCTCTTCACGCTCAGGCGAATCCTGCCCGAAAGAAGCGGAGCCGGCTGCTGGGCAGCGGGACGGCCGCGGGGGCGCTTGGCAGCGGCAGCGGCGGGGGCCGTCTTGGCAGTTCTGGCGCGCTTCTTGGGAGTCGGGTTGGCGTCCTCCGAGTCCTTGTCGTCATCATTGTTGGCGGCGGAGGCGGCGGGGGCGCCGGTCTTGGCCTTCTCGGCGGTGATCTTCTGCTTGATCACGCCCCAGGCGTTCTTGACCGTGCCGGCCGCGAGGCCCAGCTCGGCGCCGGCCTTGGGGTAGTTGGGCTTGATATTCTGCCGAGGGGGGTGGGGGGGAGGTGAATGTTAGCTTCATGTTGACTTGCTCGATTTTTCATCTCGCTTTTTGTTCCAGCTCAAGTAGAAGCCCGGGATGAGGTGAGAAGGGAAGGACAAAGTGAGATGGAAAGAGAGAAGGTTGGAACGAAGCTGAGGTGCTTGGGCTAGCTCTGGTACGGTGAGGAGCAAGGGAACTTACACCGATGTTGTTGTTAGTGGAAAGAATACACTGAGCCAAGATCCTCAGCTCATGCTCGGTGAGGAAAGACACCTTGTCGTTGTCGTTAGCCGAGGCCGACGCCTTGTTGTCGGATTTGGCAGCTTTGGGAGGCATGGTGATTGCTTTGGTCTGTCTGATCTGTGTTGCCAATGTCGATTAGCGATGAATGAGGTATAGTGCGATCAAACTCAAGTTGTTGGCACGAATGGGAATGCAAACAAAGAAGCCTTTGGGTAAAAGCAATGATGTCGAACCCTGGAGATGCGACCGATTTCCAACCAGTGCTGGCGACATGGCCCGAAGCAATCATGCCTTCTTTGACCCTGCTTGATGGACACGCAACTTGCAGGCCAAATGATGGCGGCGATGATGGGGATGATGAAGATGACGCGGACGACGGGGCCTTTGCTGACCTACCTTTTTGAAGGGATCAAGCGCAGTGATGAGAGAGGCGAATCTCAGAATATCTGAGACTCGAGATGTGGTGTTGTAGTGGGTTGCAAGGAATTCGGGTTGGAGGCCGGAGGTGATGTGTTGAGAGGAAGAAGAAGGGTGCCAGTAGGAACTGCAGGAGGAGATATGCTTGTGGGCAGAGCTCGACTCACCCAGATTTGAGAAGCGGGTCCAAGCGAACAAACACATCAACTCGCGGAGATTTCGCGGACGTTTTATGCTGATTTGTGTTTGACTGGATCTTTGGCTAGGGGTTGGTGCAAAAACGGCATGCCTTCAGAGGTTATTGCGGAATCAAGTACGAAGCACAGAACAGATCCCAAATTTGGCACCAAAAATCACCGACTTTTTCACAATGGAACACTCAACGTCACAATACTTCACAAATGAACTTTTGAACCATGAGGCTGGATCCGCCCAGGGACCGCCCATGGATCTTGTGTTCCCTATTTGTGAGTGCGAATAAACGAAGTGCTATTGTATTTGCAGAGCCTATTTGAAGAGAAGTATGTAATCAACTCAGTGTCGTTTATATCAGCAATGGAGGTTTGCCTCCTCGAGTCCAAACCTCCAGCAAAGCGCTAAATCTTGTCCTATACCCGATGCTTAGGTTCAGCCAGAGATTGCTGACGTTTTGGGTGGAAGGTTGACTTTGGTCCCACAGACTCTAATATCCAACTGGTATCTCAAACCTGGTGTGACTTACCGGTCTCTAAACGTCTCAAGGGCAGGATGCTCATGGAACATCGATCATCCCATGAGTTGGCTAGACGAAAGGACATGGTTGTTGCCACTCCGATGGAGGGACGATACTTAGGGGAGACGTTGACGACCACTTGCTTTTGAAGTGATAAGCGTTGGTCGGGACGTTTGACAGGCACTGCTCTGAGATGTGGCCAACGTCGGTCAAGATTGCATTTCGGCGGCGCCCGAACCGGTGTGAGGTCGTGAGCCGGAGCAAAAGTGGGGCCGGAGTCGGCGCTGCGATCGGCCGCCGGCCGGACTTGAATTGCCAAATCGGGAAGGGCAATGTCCTGTCCCCGGGTTACGATCACGATCAGGCCAGCATCAGAGCAAACGTCACTGGCCTTGTGCCACTTTCCTGCACGATTGTGGTACGAAGGATTGCACAAAGGGAGCTAAGGTCAATGGCATATCATGATCGTTGGGCCAGAATTGCTTCACTGTTCGTGATTCCTTCAATGCGTTGATTTGTTGGTTTTGTTCAACTTGTCTAGTGCTGGTTGCTCCTCTCCGGGTCATTGGTATCAAAACTTGGCGCCGCAAAGTCAGTCTGGAAAGAGAAGCTGGTGTTGTCGCATTTCCCTTCAACACCTGCCGAATGTGGAACAGGCTTGCAACACAACAGCTTGGCAGTGTATTACCAAGGCCGGCTGCAACGGCTGCTCCTGCTGCGGCTCCGACTATTCTTATCAGCAACTTCCTAATAAAGACAAGAGAAGACGACAAAAGGGCAGTTCAAGATTTACCATGTTTGTCTAACGTCGATCTAGTGCCCCCTTCTTCAACACTCCCTCATAAAGCCCGCGATCCCCGCGCCGAGAAAGACGGACAATGAGGGGGAGCGCACTGGAATCATCCCGATTGACCGACCACAGTGTTCAGTCAGTGATTTGAGATTGAGACCGACTGGGGACTGTACACAATCGCAGCAATGAAGCTCCCACGCGTCACCCTCACAACCCTCCTCCTCTCGTCGACCGCCGTCGCAACCGACAACATCCTCACAGAAGACAGACTCGCAGCCGACATCACAACCCAGGAGTAAGGCAGAAAACACCCCACCCTAGCCGCTCTACAACGCCCCATCATTTGACCCCCTTCCCAACCACAGACTCCAAAACGTCCTCTGGAACCTCAACAAAATCGCCCGCGACAACGGCGGCAACCGCGCCTTTGGCGAGCCCGGGTTCAAGGCCTCTCTCGACTTTGTGCTCGAGCGCGCCCAGAAGCGATTCGGCGACTATTTCGACACGACCGTCCAGCCCTTCACCCACATCTATGACAAGACGCTGCAGATCAACGTGACGGGCCCCGCGGGAGAAGACGTCTTCGTCATCAGCCCCATGTACAACCCCGCCACGCCGCTGCCCGGTGGCATCAAGGCCGGGCTGGTCGACACGCCGGTCGATGACGCGCGAGGGTCCGGGTGCTTTGCGGACCAGTGGGAAGGGGTGGATGCGACGGGGAAGTTGGCCCTGGTCAAGAGAGGGGCCTGTGCCGTCGCGGATAAGCTGAAGTTGGCCAAGGCGCGTGGTGCTCTGGGTTCGTACCGTCACTGGCTGGCTGGCTGTAGTGATGAGGAGGGATGCTGACTGATCGCGGTACTTCAGGCGTGATATTGTACCACCAGGCGCCTGGGACAGGCATTTCCGTCCCCACGCTGGGTGCCGAGACGATTGGCCAAACAATCCCCGTTGGGATCATCCCGCTCGAGGTCGGCGAAAGCTGGAAAGCTAGCCTGGCATCTGGGGAGGACGTGGTTGTTACACTGCTCGTCGACTCCGTGACCGAGACGCTCAAGACGTGGAATATCATTGCCGAGACCAAACAAGGCGATCCCAACAAGGTCATCATGCTGGGCGCCCACCTCGACAGCGTGCAAAAGGGCGCAGGCATCAACGACGATGGCAGCGGCGTGGCTGCTCTGATGGAGATCATGACCGCCCTGAGGATGTACGACGGCTTCCCGCACAAGATCCGGTTCGCATACTGGGGGGCCGAGGAGAGCGGCCTGGTCGGCTCGCTGTACTACACCTCACACCTGTCCGAGGTGGAGGCCGACAGTATCAAGTACTACTTCAACTACGACATGATCGGCTCTCCCCAGCCCGATAACAGCATCGCCAGCAACGACAACAGCGGCATCGGGCCAGAGCTTTATGAAGAGTATATGGTAGCTCAGGGGATGCCAGTGAGACATGGGTGAGTGAAGCCTCTCTTTTCGAACGTATTTGTCCCCAGTTCTGTCGTGTTGATGGCTGACTCGCCCCAGCGGCTTTGGCACCGGTTCCGATTACGTCGGCTTTGTTAACCTGGGCATTCCGACCATCGCCTTACACACTGGCGCCGGGGCGCCCTGGGATGCATGCTACCACCTAGCCTGCGACGACCTGGACAACATCAACTGGGAGGCCTTGACAGCACACGCCAAAGCAGCCGCACGGTCCCTTGCGAGGATGGCCCACTCACTCGAAGGCGTACCGCCCCGGCAGAAGACAAGCATCAACCTCCGCACGCGCCGTGGTATGGTAGAGAACTTTGCAAGATGGGCGGCCGTCGCCGAGGAGGCTAGTCATGAGCACTCGTGTTCGCATAAGGGCAAGAAGCTGCGAGTTTGAAAGGCTGTTCGATCTGTGTCAGAAAGGGGCCACGACTATGCGGAGAGCACCAACCGGCATGTCGAGATGATGACGACGAGTTTCAATAGTCCTGAACGAGTACAATAGACTCACACGGCATTGAGGCTGGCAGGAACGGGGTATGTGTTGTTGAGAATCCAAACAATTCTCATCCTCGCCGATTCTTCGGGTCACCGCGCCGAGTCGCACTGAACGAAACATCCGGGTTCGAAAGTCTGATGAGGGAGAGCGAAGTCCTAGGTCCACCCCTTCCTCCACTCAGCCGCATGATCCCGTCTTCCCTCCCACCCCCCTTACTTTTCCCTTGTCGACGGCAATGCAGAGGAAGTCTCCGATGCCAAGTGAGGAACAGCGTAGTCATCCGGCGGATCACCCACCAAAACTGCCCTGAGATAACCACACGGTATTTCTCGGCCGCTTTGGTCCGTCCCTTCCTGTTGGGGACAAGATGTCAAGCTACAGACCGACAATACGAAAGTTGATCATGACGAGAAGTTGAACAAGTGGCAAGT